CTCGTCGCTTCTGGCGGCGTAATTGGCTACGCCAAAGCAGGTAGGGAGGGGGCTGAAGAAACGCCCGGGTAATCGGTCTTGTAACTTGGCTCGAGTAGCAGGGCCCGCCGTCACCCATGGTAAAGGGAAAATGAATTTGGGCAGTAAGGAAAAGTGGAGGTAACCCAGTAGCATTAGGGTAAATATCATTCTTAAGGCCCAAGGGAAAGCAATTTATATTCTTTTTAAAAATGCCTTTTAAATAGAGGAGGTAAGTTGGCATCAGTGTCAGCAGTGGTTCTGAGTGCTGTATTTATTCCTGTTAATAAAAGCATTCAGCTGTCACTGAAACTGCTGAAGTGCACTGAGTTCCAAAGTGATCACTTTTGACTTAATATCCAGGTTCTCTTGTCATGTAATACTGCTGTAATCCATTCTGTCTAGTCTTAATTTGGCTGTTTTTACTCCAGATGTCTAAGCGCTTCTGGAAGACTGGTAGTTGACTGACTGACCTCATGAACTTAAATCCTGCCCTCTAAAGGCTTGACTCGGAATTTCCAATGTAAGCTAATCAGGAAGGTCAGAGTTCAGTTTGCATTTACAAGAAATTCAAATATATGATCTTGACACACTGCAGAAAGTGATTTCTGTAAATAGTGCTAAATCCTTGTTACTTGTAAATGGTACTTAATTAAATGCTTTTAAGCATCGTATAAAAAACAAGCAGTATCTTTTTCTTTGGTTTAGCTTTTTTTTTTTTTTTTTAATAGCGAATGTGACATTTGCAAGTGCTCTTGTTTGGTTTATGGTCTTTCGCTAAATGCTTTTTCTTTCACTTATTCAAGGGAGTGTCCCATCTCTAGCTGCTGGTCTTCTCTTTGGTGGTTTAGCAGGATTAGGGGCTTACCAGCAGTCCAAAGATCCAAAGAATGTGTGGCTTTCTCTTGGTAAGTTTGCTGGGCACGTAGGTACTAAACGTTACTGGTAGCCATGTAAATAGTAACATTTTTTTTCTAGTATGTTTCAGCCAACTTGTACCATTGTATTTATACCAGTGCTTGTAAAGGGTGGCAGAGCATCTTGCCCATAGCAAGGAAATATTTGCGTAAGAACATGATACCTCATTCTAAAACCTAGGCTGTCTCTCTGGAAGCCAGATAGAGAGACACATCTATCTCAACTGCCAGAATAGGTACTGTGTCAAACTATCATAGGCACATGGAACGCATGTGAAAGATGTTTGGTTGTGAAGGAGCATTTTTAGTCTATGGCCATCGAATAAGCATGTTTGCAGTAGCGCAGATATTGTGACGTAGCAGTATATGGCTTTATGGAATATTGATTTCCGCACGCATCTCAGGTAGAAGAGTGTATGTTTTAGCATATCATACAATGTGGAAGAAATAGTCTGCAGTATGTAAAGGAGGGAATGTTCTGTTCTTCATGCTCCCAACAGATGGGACAGGAAGTTGTAGGTTTAGCTTGCAGCAAACCCTTCAGGTGAAGCATAAGGATAAAATAACAGTGGAAAGTATTATGATGCACTGGCAGAGATTAGCTGGACCTCAGGGAATTTCCATCATTGTAGGACTAATTTTAAACTGGTTAGACCAGTGTCTGTTCGGTGCTGATCTTACCTTTGGGCACTGAGCTAGTCTAGATGATCTCTTGAGGTTTCTTCTAGTTCTGTAGCTACATAATAGTATTATTAGCATTGTGATACTATAGTATTATAATGATTTAAAACTATTTAAAACCAATGGGACTTGATCATATAATGTGTTGAAGGACTTTATGAAACCCCTGGCAAAGACAGTAGAGGACCAAGCCATCTTGTCGATATGAAATCAAGTGTAAAACACAGCTCAATGTGAAACCAAGTTTCTGCTTGTGAATTCTCTGTGCTGGTGTGGTATGTAGTAGGTGTGGCTATATATCTCTTGCACTTGGTTTCAGGCAGTGTGTTGATAGATAGATAAGCAGCTTCCATATATCCTGGTTTGGTGCATGTAGACAAAGTGGAATTCTTCAAGGCACGTCATGTCCCAGACTAGTATGATTCTCTGTTCGTCCATTCCTTCTCTTCTCTGCTTTGTCTTGCAGTTGTCGCTCCAGCTCAGCTTTAGATTGGTCACCGTATATCAAGGCTAGAAGTCTGAAAAAGAACCTTGGCATACCTTTATAGTATCTTTTACTCTGTTTCCAAAGCTGTTGCACGCAAACTTGAAGTTTTGGAAAAAAGGCATACAACACTTCCACCTGCCTTTCTTCCTCAAAGAAACAACAATTCTGGAACTTTTATGTGAAATTGATGGGATTTTTTTTTTCAGACTTAATTAAATAATTTGGAGTCATGTTTAAAATGTTACCACTGTTTCAACTTGATCTTTCAAATTGCTTTGATCCTTCAGATTGCTTTCTATTTGCTAATTCATATTTTCAAATGCAGGTACTGTATTTCTAAACCTTTACAGTACTTAGCCATTAAAAAATTCAAATACACTGTAGGCCAAATTTACTGTTGGCTCTTAATGTTGAGTGTTAACATCTTTAGAATGAAAATACGTAGGAATGTAGTGTTCAAATCTAATGTCAACGTGCAAGTTTTAATTTAGTTCCATCTTTCAGTTCAAAGGTCACAGAAAAACTGGAAACATAATATTTGGTTCCCACATAATTATTTTTGACATCAGCCTACCTTGCTGGCAGTTTTGAGACTGTATTAAAGGAAATAATTATTCCTGTTCTGCAAATAAGGACAAGCTGAGGGAGAGTCTTGGTGACTTGTCCAGAGAGTTGGAGATTGTGGGTGGTTAGACAGTGGTCTTAACTCTGACTAGAATTACTCATTTCTGATGAGTAGTGGTGCATGTTTACTAAGGCTGCTCTAACAGCTCTTCTGTTTAACAAAAAAAAGTAGAATGTTTGCATATGTTTCCTTAAGAGGAGGGAAGCATTCCTGTCTGTAGGTGCTCGCCTTTTTCCTTGGTGCTGTTAAATGTCCATCAATGTTGCTGTGCTGGGCTGGTATTTCAGACCTATTTTCCCGAAATAGTTGTGGCTGGATTTTCTTCTTTTCTTCTTTCAGTGGCATCTGGAACTTTGGCTGCAGTTATGGGAATGAGATTTTACAACTCCAGAAAAGCAATGCCTGGGTTAATTGCTGGTGCCAGGTAGTCACATTTCCTTGTTTTCATCTGTATTTTTGAATAAGCCTTTTGTTTAATTTATATGTGCATTTTATTGTTTTAGAAATGTTACATAGTAAGTTCTGTGAAAAATAACATGTTAGAATTCAGCTAAATGAAATCATGTCAGTGTTTCCTTTTTCCTTCTTGTTTTTTGTGGGGATGTTTGCCTGTTTTTTAAACAAATACTCTGTTCCACAGTTTATTCATGGTTGGGCGGCTAGGATTACAGATGATGGAAAAGCCTCTTAAGCCATAAGTCTGCAGCAAGTCACTTGAAAGTACATGGTTGAGAAGCATGAAAATGCAACTGCCTGAACATATTACACAAACGGAAAAGACACTGCTGTCTCTGCATTGTGTTTTTCATATCTTAATGCATGTGGATTGTTTTTTTTAAAGGACAGAAATTGAGAGCCCTTATGTTGTCCAGAATGGCATTTGTCTCAACGTCTTCTGCATTGTGAAGCAAGAAAATATGGGAATAGCATTAGTTTAGTTTCTGGTCCTGCAACTGACTGTAGGCAAAGACCTCTTAGCACTTGCATGCAAACAATTGCAAGATTGAAGTTTTAAATACACATTTGGATTTGTCATTCTGAAATCCGTTATACTTCTAAAACAAGGGTAGAGAAGCTGCCAATTTGTCATTAATATTTACTGTTAACAAATGTGCTCATTCTATTACCTCTCCCCCACCATTTTTCTGGCAGTTTATCCTGTCATCAAGTTTGAATTCTCTCAATCAGGGACTTTGTTCTTTCAGCACTGTATGTTAGAACCTTGGCCCAAAAGACACAACCATGGAGCAGGGTGTCAAGGTTCTATGGCAATGCAATGAATGTAAACCTGTTAACTTAGAATCATGAGCAAAAGCACCCGACTAAATGTCATTCATTCGACTTTTACAGACTATTGTTCATAAGAGAAATCAAAATATGCTTCATTTGATAATACTGAATTGTGCGCATGGCTCTTGCATTTCATGAAAAGTAAAATGTTACTCTAAATAAACTAATAATTATTACAAACTTTTGCATTCTACACAGTTGTTTTTTTCTTTTTCATCTGGGTTGATAGTTTGGTGCTTTTCCTGCAAAGTACCTGGGTACATTTGTGAATACAAATTGTATAAATTGTATCAGTGTGCATTCTCTTGACTCTAGCCAGTGACTTGTAAATATAAACATTTCATGAACGGAAAGAGGGGAAAAAAGAACGAATGCATACAGACCACATATTCAGGCTGGTGTTGCATTACAGTCTAATGTTTTTTTTCCAAGATGAGTGATCTATTTCAGAGTTGAAAAATTCTCTGTAAGTTTATTTAAACACTAGTGAGCTCAGCTGATGAGTCTTGGTCCTCAGGCGATTCCCCAAGTCCTCTGTTGCCTGAAGTCATCTTAAATGTAAACCTGTCATGCGGAAATAATCGAGCTTACCTCCCTTTCTGCATAGAACCTTAGCTTCAGTTTCCTCAGCCTTTCTTTGTTTGGCGACTTGTACTGGCAGGCAGAAGCAAGGGGATTGATGCCTCAAGTCAGTGAGAGCCTGGAGCCTCATATGCTGAGAGTTCTCTAACGAGTGCAGCAGGAGGGTGATGCATCTTTTTCCCTTCCTTCTATCTTGCTCCAGTGTCTGTCTTAAGGAGATGATTTTCAGCTCTGGACACAGGTAGAGAAAAAAGGGCCTGTGGGGGAGCACCAGGAGTGGGGTGCTGCATAGGGGAAGGTGAGCCTGGAGCTGCGGGTCGCAGCAAAACAGGTAGGGCAGTGACATCCCTGAGAAGGATGTAGTCTCACTGTACCCAAGCAAGAAGCACAGAGCAAGCCTGGTGATGACAGCCAGGATCAGCCAACAGCATGGTGACTGACAGGCAAGTCATAGTGATGAGGCAGGGCCAAGGCCATGCCAGGAAGTCAAGTCAGCAGGTTGCGATCTGTATTAAGAGAGACAGGGCCAGGCATGGACATTACTGCAGCGTACCTTGGGCAAGGCCCTTGGCATCACTGCAGTTGCAGAGCACAGGGAGCCAGGCCCCTGCTTCCCACAGCTGTATTGCCAGCAGTTTGATCCCAGGCCACAGCTGAGTGTCAGAGCTGGCCTGGAGCACAGGCAGTGAAATCTCTTTTTTGGGTGGGGTGGGGAGTGGCATGGCAGTCAGGGCCCTTGCTCATGCACCTAGAGAGTTTAGCTTCAGGTACTCATCTGTACCTACTCTGTCCTTTCCCCTCCCTGTGTAGAAACAAGGGGGGGGGATGCAGGAAGGCAGATGTTTTGTTTATAAATCATTCTTTTAAGTGCTTGATTTTGGGCTCCAAACCTAATGCTGATGGCCAAGTGTCTGAATGTATTTACTCTGACTTGAAAAGGTTAATAAGCCATGCTCATTAGCATTTAAGACACCTCTCTGAGCTGGTGTGTGAATTATCTACCTCTTCACATTGCTTTTGCACCAGTTCTCTTTTGTGGAAGTAAGATGCATATGCACACCTCCTGCAATAAACTGAGGAGAGCCAAGATACAGCAGTCTTCAAATTGTGTAACTGGCCTCAAATCAGGTAATCTGCAAGTTTGGGCTGCAGTTGTCCCTGAATGGAATAAAGGCAACGGAAAGCAGGGAATTAGACTAATAAGGTTTTTAAACGCTTGGATTAGCGTTAAGCCTCCCTGCTGTTTCGTCAACTAGAAGTTTGTCTCATAATTGTATCACTGGTTTAACTTCTAAAGTCGTTTGGAAAGTAGCAGTTTGAAGTCAAAACTGCTGCTAGAACTCTTTGTTACTGCTTTTCATTTCTGCTGAAGCAGAAATCCAAATGAAGGAAGGCGAGAAAAGCTTGAGCTTTATGTGGTTTCCCCCCGACCCTGGCAACTTAATCAGCATGAACTAAATTTCGTAAGCATTAGATGGCATTTCTGCTTCAAGAGTCCAATAGGTATCAATGAGTCAGAGTTAAAACAACAGTACAGAGCCTTTTAGCCTCTTATTACTGGTCCTGAAGCTGTTTCTTCTAGCCATATTTAATGCAACAAAAATGATCTATTTATTTTTCTGCTCTAGGTGACTTAGGAAGCTATGGATAGAGGTTGTTAGTTAATTCCTTGACCAGACTGTGATCTTAGATAAGTCACTGGCATCTTGTACTCCAGAAGAGTGATTTATTTATTTTGTAATCATAAAGCCAGTGCATTTATGAACCAGGGCTATTCTAGAAAGCCTGAGGTAGTCCTTCACTACCATAACCAGTTACTGATATTCTAAGAATAGGACACATTTAATAGCACAAGGACATTTATTAGTACTAAGGGAATGAAAAATACTTAAGAGTAGACCATGGCAACTGAACGAAAGCCTCTAGTGCTTTACTGACCAGATATCCCTATCCTTATGCCTCTCTTCTAGTATTAAAGTGGTGTTTTCTTTAGGTGCAATTTTCATAACAAAATACTAGATTGTTTTGGTTCAACTGTTTCAGACTAAATCACCTTCCAGTAAATTACTTAACCCATATATTATGGCAGATTAGGTCAACAACAAGAACTTAAGTTTTTATGTGCAGTTATAAAAGCCATACAAACACTTTTCTTTTTACAACCCTTAAAGTAATCATTAACAGCTTTACATCTTTAAAGTGTGTACCCATTTTGCACTTTAAAATGGCAGGTTTAGTGTAACTAATAACCCTAAAGCATCTGTTCTAAATACAACTATTAAGAGAAGTATCCTAGATCAGTATCTTAAAATGATATATTGTACAATGCAAGGTGCTTTGCAGGCTATGTGAAACTCAGTGTAGAAGCCAGGAAAAGCATTGAATGAGCATATAAACATTGAGGTGTTGCACTAATAGAGTTTGTGTATGTTCTCAGGGACTGAAGCTAGCCTTTAAGATAGAAAGCAACCTCTTTGAAGAGCAGCCTAGTTTCCTCTCTCACATAGTTTATTGGCCTCCTATAAGGAGTCTGTAGTTTAGTTTGACAATAACCCAATAAAGGCATTCAGCACAGGGGTTTACTGGTCATTTATGCCTTTTTGGTTAATTTACCCCTAAAATGACTATTAGATTGCAGTGGTTCAGGCTCTTTAACACTTCACTGTGACACTCCTTTGACAAAGGAGAAATAAATCCCTACAGACTTTCAACCAAATGTGGGCATAATATAACTGTAGAATGCAATTTTTAAACTTCATTACAACTTGGCCAGGTAAGTGTGGCATTCAGTACTTTCACTGTACTGTTTTCCAGTATTACTATATCATTATGGACCAAGTTTTTAGACCTTTCTGAGGTAGTATTTGTCTGTGGATTACTTATTTAGGTCCTACTGGAAGGAATGAGTTCTCACAATCATTACAAACATTTGCACATTATAGACCCTAACTGACTCTTAGGTAGAGGAGCGTTCTGAAATCCTTGTCTGACAGCGTCGTGGGTTTTTC